TGATCAGATTCTAAACAACTTTTTCTTAGAAAAGTTTATCAAATTCTGAACCATTTTATAAGAAAAGTTGACCAGAATCTCAACAACTATTTCTTAGAAAAATTAATCGGAATCTGAACTACTTATTCTTAGAAAAGTTAATCAGAATCTGAACAACTTATTCTTAGAAAAGTTGATCAGAATCTTAACAAACCTTTCATAGAAAAGTTGATCATTATCTGAAAAACTTTTTCTTAGAAAAGTTGATCAGAATCTGAACAACTTTTTCTTCGAAAAGTTGATCAGAATCTTAACATCTTTTTCTTAGAGAAGTTGATCAGAATCTGAACAACTTTTTCTTAAAAAAACTGATCAGGATTTGAACATATCTTTCTTATAAAGACGATCAGAATCAGAATAACTATTTCTTAGAAAAGTTAATCAGAATCTGAACAACTTTTTCTTAGAAAAGATGATCATGAACTGAACAACTTTTTCTTAGAAAAGTTGAACAGATTCGGAACAAATTTTTCTTTGAAACCGGTTCGGAACAACTTTTACTTTGGAATTTGATCAGAATCTGAACTACTTTTTCTTATAAAATATGATCATGAACTGAACAACTTTTTCTTAGAAAAGTTGAACAGATTCGGAACAACTTTTTCTGTGGAAAGTTGATCAGAATCTGAACAACATTTTCATAGAAAATATGATCATTATCTGATCAACTTTTTCATAGAAAAGTTGATCATTATCAGAATCTATCCAACTTCAGAAAAGTTAATCTAATTTAATAAATCTAATCTAAGAAAAAAGTTCCCAGAATCTGAACAATTTTTGAGCGAATTTTACTTTTAAGAATTAGTTTTCGTTTGGAGCGATTTTTCTATTTATTTCAGGTTATTCGATCTATATCACAATTCAAAAATATTTTATTAAAAGAATCCTTTAATTTATTATAAAATTTTTATTAATTTCATTTTTCAAATCAAGTTTTTATTTTAACTAAAACTTTTGTTTTTGCTTGACTTATATTTCTATTGATTTAAATTCTATTAAATGGCTTTTTTAAACGCGTAATAATTAGGCAGATTTATTGTTTTATTAAAGCAATTTTTTTTTGTTTTTAAATGTTTTTAATTAGTTTTATTTTAAGTATTAATATTTTATTTATACATTTTATTATTGTTAAAAAATGCCTGCCATTGTTTTTATTTATTGGTGTTTTTTTAAAACATTGTGAAAAAAACAAAATATTTATTTATACTAATCTAGTTTATCTCTTCTATGACATGCCTGGCTTTGTAAATCTTGCAAAAAAATGTATATACTTAACTGCCCACCCTGCCATGCCCACAAACTGCGCAACAAACAAATAAAAATATGAGCAAACTAGAAAATACTTACCAAAGTTATGCTACAAATAATGGATAAAAGCAGCAGCTAAAAATAGGCTATAGAAATGTTACAATTAAAAAACTAACTGCAATACAATAGTACAACCAATTTTAAACTAAAATATTTTTTATGATCCAAAAAAATCTATAAAATCTGAAATTTTATTGGAAAATTTTTAAAAATTTTGTATATTATTTATTTAAAACATTTAAATTTTTCTGCAATAGCCCGGTTTCAAACCTATTTCTTAAGTTTAATTTTTATTTTATTTAGTTTTTTATTTTAGATCTCGCTTTTTTAGTTAATTTGTGTTTTGCTTTATTTTAATTTATTTTTTTTTTTATAAATTTTTTTATTTCTTTTTTATCTATTTTTTTAACAGCTGAGTTTTTAATAAAAAAATGTTTCTTTAAAAATAATTCAAAATTTTGTTTGGCTTTTTTTTGCAAACGCGGCGCAATTGCTTTTTGTAGTGGCTTTTTATTGTTTAAATTTAATTTATTTATTTTTGCTATAGTTTTAAGTTTTATTATTAAATTTTGAATGAAAATTTATGTTTTGAAATTTTTGAAATAAAATTGTTGGTTTTAGTATTTTGAAAAAAAAAAACGCGTAAATTTGTTTATTATTTTCTTTGGACAAACTTTTGCTAACAAAATTTATTAATTTTAGTAAAAGAATTTTACAGATTTGTTTAAAAACAGAATGGTAAGTTTTAGTTTAAGAATATATTGCCATAAAATAATTTTTAAAATACTTATTAATTTAAAATTAAACTCCTTTTTTTAAGTTAAAAACTAAACCATTAAAAAAAACTCGTGTTATCTTAGCAGCAGCAGTATCTCTATTTGGAAATGTTAATCAAAATCTGTACAACTTTTCTTAGATAAATCAGATCAGAATCTAAACAACTTTTTCTGCGAAAAGTTGGCCATGATCTGAACAAATTTTTCTTAGAAAAGTTGATCATTATCTGAATTATTTTGTCACAGAAAAGTAGATCATTATCTGAACAACTTTTTCTTAGCGAAGTTGATCATTACGTAGATTATTATCTGAAGAGTTAATCATGATCTGAACAACATTTTCTAAGAAGAGTTGAACATGATCTGAATAACTTTTTCTTAGAGAAGTTGATGAGAATCGGAACATCTTTTTCATAGAAAAGTTGAGCAGAATCTGAACATTTTTTTCCTGGCAACGTTAATCATGATCTGAACAACTTTTTCTTAGAAAAGTTGAACATGATCTGAACAGAATCTGAAAATTTTTTTCCTGGCAACGTTAATCATGATCTGAACAACTTTTTCTAAGAAGAGTTGAACATGATCCGAACAACTTTTTCTTAGAAAGTTGATGAGAATCTGAACAACTTTTTCCTAGAAAAGTTGATCAGAATCTGAACAACTTTTTCTTAGAAAAGTTAAACATGATCTGAACAACTTTTTCTCATAAAAGTTAATCAGAATCTGAACTTTTTTTTAGAAAAGTTGAACAATTGCGGATAAAAAAGTTGATCATATTCTGAACAACTTTTTCTTAGAAAAGTTAATCATGATCTGAACAACTTTTTCTTAGAAAAGTTAAACATGATCTGAACAACTTTTTCTTAGAAAAGTTAAACATGATCTGAACAAGTTTTTCGTAGAAAAGTTAATCATGATCTGAACAACTTTTTTTTTAGAAAAGTTGACCGTGATATGAATAACTTTTTCTTAGAAAACTTGATCTGAATCTGAACAACTTTTTCTTAGAAAAGTTAATCATGATCTGAACAATTTTTTCTTAGAAAAATTGATCATCAGATCTGAAAAAAAAATTTTATCATAGAAAATTGTATCAGATTCTGAACAACTTTTTCTTAGAAAAGTTGATCAGAATCTGAACAAATTTTTCATAGAAAACCTTAACAATATCGAAACAACTTTTTCTTAAAAAAGTTGATCGTGATCTGAGCAACTTTTTCTTAAAAAAAAGTTGATCGTGATCTCAACAACTTTTTCTTAGCTGTTCGTGTAAAAAATTTTCCAAAAGCTTTATACAGCTCTTAAGATTCTAAAAAAACATCGATAAATTTTCAAAAAAAAACTTTGAAAATCATTTCTAAGTATTTAGGAAGTTCTTAAAAATCCTCATAAAAGCTTTTAAAAAGCTTCAAAAAGTTGTCACATTCATCAAGCTTTAGAAAGTTGCCGAAAAGTTTTAGGTTAGTTTTTCAAAAAGCTTTAAGAAGTTCGCAAGTTGCTAGGAGAACCTCCTACAAAACTTTAAATAGATTATTTAGCTTTCCTTAAGCTTTCTGAAGTTTTTGAAAGCTTTTGAAAAGTTCACAAAGTCAATCGTAAACTCCTGCGAAATTTAAACATTGAATTTTTTGTACTTTTGTATAAATCGATAATCGAAATTTTAGAAAAATTACATTTTATTACAATATCAAAATTTTATCAATAACGCAATTTTCATCGAAAAATTTCATCAAAATTTAAATTTTAAACGAAAATAAATTTTTATATATACATAAATCTATATTTTTCAAAAATTTAAAAATTTTATCGTTAAAACAAATTTTCTTTGAAGTTAAACTTTTTAAACATTTCAATAAATTTTAAATTTTATAAAATTTTTTATTCAAATATCAATCATTTTCAAAATGTCTCTTAAATTCTACAGCATACTTAAAGGGAGTTAATTATATACAATATTTATAGCATTCGCTCTCTCTCTCTCTCTCTCGGTTAACCTTAACGTTCTCACTTATAAGGTTTGGGTGTCGGCGGCTCTTCTCTCCCTACACTCTTGGGAGAACTTAAAACAAATGTAGCTGTCAAGACCTCACCGTTGTCATCGATAAATGTTTTCGTATAATGACCATTTCTCGAGGTGATATCGAACTTGGTTAAACCCAAAAGAGCTAAAAATTCCGAAATGGGACTTAGTTGTGGATGTAATGGAGCCAGGGGGCTGAAGGAGGTTATTGGTCGTGAATTATATGAATTATATATGTGTTTAGCCACCTGTGATGTTTGTGGTTTATATTGATGCTTTGGGGGGGGTTGTTGTGGTTGTGGTTCTTGAGGAGCTGTTGGTGTGGGTACTGTATTCACCTTATAGGTGGTGGTTATAATACGACCATCGGGTTCAGTGCGTGTCTTAGTTATGGTATCACCATCGATATTTGTTATGTCATCGGGACTTATACCGGCTCTTCTTAGAACTTCTTGCATTTGTGGATCTAAATCTTGAATGGTAGGTTTTTCGGGTCCTATATGGGTTTTCGAGAAGGTGCGTATATTGGTCTCCACCTTGGGAGTATAGACCTCAATATCTTCCTCTATGGGATGTTTATTTTCAATTTTTAAAACGGGAGCTGTTAAAGGACGGGGCGTGAGGTGAGGTGGTAGATTTTTTAATACCGATTCATTGGCAGGTTTACCATTGTGAAAAACTTCCACTACTGGTAAATCATCGATATTGATAACCTTGGGTTGTTGGGTAGTGGTCAACGATGGTGTCGTTGGTACCTTAGCCGTGGTTGTAGTTGAGGTTGGAGCTCTATTTGAGGGTGGTCCATATTGGGATTTAAGAAAATCATCTAAACTTGGCAAAGGCTTATGAACTTTCGGTTTAACAGTTGTGGTAGTTGTTGAGGTGGTAGTACTAGCGGTTGTGGTGGGATGTGTGGGAAATTGTGGCCAGTCCCAAGTTTTTGGTGTCCACGACTCAAATTGTTTCTTGGTAGTAGTCTCTACTTCAGGATCTTCTACCACCACCCAATCGTCTTCAGTATCATCGGGATCTGCCGTATCCCAGGGATGAGCAAAAGCAGAGTCATCTATAGTGGGCCAATTAATATCACCTATAGAGGGATATTTGGGTTTGTGATTAAAATCCGTGGGCTGTGGGTTATTGGAGGTGGTGTGTACTACACGTTTTTCACCATTAGGTGTATAATAAGTTCTAGTACTGGTGCGGGTATTAAAGTTAGAGGGAGTGTGTTGCACAGGTGCGAAATGTGTTTCAGGTTGTGTTATCTCAGGATCCGAAGACCATGATGTTACCGTCCTCCTCTCACCATTAGGTCCCGTAAAGGTGCGTGTAATAGTTCTGTGTGAGGTTCTCGTTGGTGGTTTAGGTGCTGCTGGTGTCTCTTCAGGCCATGAAGGAAAAGGTTTACTAAACCAATCCCCCGTTAAATCATCCGTATCCAAAACAGTTGATGCCTTTGGTTTACTCAAACCAATAGTTTGTGTCACTTTACTGCCATCGCTATCGGTAAAGGTACGTGTTATGGTACCGGTGGGTGAATTTTTCAATTCATCTATAGGTATTGTGTCCGGTACATTTTCCGAATTGTATACATAACTTTTTCTTTGAGTTATAAGCGATTTACTAGATATACTGCCATCAGGTTCTAGCTTATAAGTAGTCGTTTTGGTGAGACCATTAGGTGTCGTTGTTGTTCTGGTGACGGGTTGTTTGGTGCGTAATAATTCGGCAACGGCTTCACCATCCATGCCACGTTTTATGGCAGCCTCAATAATCATTTGATCCCTTGAGGGTTGGGTGGGCGAACCGAAATCAATGGTTTCAGCATCCGGATGGCCATAGAAGGCTAAGGCACAGGTTAGAAGCTGAAATGAAAAAGTAGAGAATATTTTTTAAGTTTCTAAGACAAAAGCTCTAAAGCTTTATATAGCTTTTTAGTCAACATATGTTACTTTAACAAAACTTTTTAAAAAGCTTTCCAAAAAACCTTAGGAATCCTTATAAGTCTCATGTTTAGAAAGATATGTAGCAAACTTGGTGAAACTTTTTAAAAGCTTTAGAAATATATTAAATATCCAATTGTCTTAAATAACTTTTTCAGCCTTAATAAAGCTTTATAATGCTTGATAATGTTAAACTTGTTGAGCTTTATGAATTTTCAAAAAATCTTTTCATATCTTTGAAACACTTTCACAAACATGTTCAAAAGCTTTTGGTAGTTATTTCATACTTAGAAGGAGCTTCGTAAAGCTTTAAAAGAAAAACTTAAGAATATATTTGAAAAATATTTAATTTTTAAAAAATCTTAAAACAAAAGCTTAATGAAAACAGCGTCCAGTGTTTTTAAGCTTTAAGAGATTTTTAGAAAATTATCTGGACAAAACTTCAAACATTTTATACTTTATAATGAAAAGCTTTAAGAGTTCTACAAAAGTTTAAGTATAACAAAAGCTATGGATGCTTTTAAACGTATTTTTGTTAATGTTCATTTAAACATTATTTAAATTATATTTTAATATAATGGAATTTTAAAATTTTCTGAAGTTTCTCCAAAGGATTTGTAAAGCTCTAAGAAGATTTATAAAGCTTTTTGAATGATTAGAAAAACATAAAATTTTCTTCAAGCTTTTAAGGCTTGGCTTTGTTAACATTTTTGAAGCTTTTTTGAAGTAATTTTACAAAGGTATTGGAAAGCATTAAGAAATTATTGGGAGAAAGCTTTTGCACAGTTATATATAGATAGACAGTTATAGATATACTTTGGAAAGTTTCTATAACCTTTATAAAATGTTTAATTTAATTTTACAAAGGTATTGGAAAGCATTAAGAAAGTATTGGGAGAAAGCTTTTGCACAGTTATATATAGATAGACAGTTATATATATACTTTGGAAAGTTTCTATAAGCTTTATAAAATATTTAAACGATTTTAGAAAACTTTAAAAAGCTTTAAGAAAAGCTTTTATTAAAGGTTTTGAAAGACTTTAAACGTTTTTTAAGTGTTTTTTGTTCTACATTAAATGAAGATGTTTTATGTTTGCATTTTATACTTTATAATGAAAAGCTTTAAGATTTCTAAAAAAGTTTATGTATAACAAAAGCTCTGGATGCTTTAAAAAGTATTTTAGTTAATGTACATTTCTACATTATTTAAATTATATTTGAATATAAAGGAATTTTATAGCTTAACGAACAAGTGTTAAAGCTTTAAAGATTTTATAAAAGTTCAGGAAGTTTTTTAATATTTATAAAGCTTTTAATATGTTTCATATGTTTGAATCAAATGCTTAGATTTAGGCGTAAGGTTCATAAAATTAAGTAGTTTTTCGAATAGAAAGTTTTAAGGATCTGTTAAAGGGTTTTAAACTTCTACTTTCAAGCTTCAGTTAGAAGGTACGGAAGCTTTTTTTTACTATGAAGCTCTAAACAATTCACTCTACATTAATAAAATGAAGCTTTTTCATGTGTAAGTTTATAGCCATGTCTTAGTATTAGAACGATATGATGGTATTGTATACATTGTGGTCAAAAGCTTTAGTCAAGTCTTTAGTTTCCTGCCTTTTTGGAAGAAAGGCTTTAAAGCTTTTGCAAAAACCTTAAGATCAAACAAATATTTTTCATTTTTGAAATGATTTCATTAAATATTTTCTTTACATAAATTTTTTTGTTTATTTTTCTACAAAATTTATTTGACGATTAAATATAGTTCAAGGTCAAGGTCTAACAGGAATAAATACAGAATTATCTCTAAAGCTTCATTTGGTTTTGCATTAGACAGCTTGACTCTTTTCACGTTGGGGTTTAAATGGAGATAATGTTAGGCTTGGTAATTTTTGTTCGAATATTTCCGGCGAATTTTATTTTCTTTTGAATGAATAATGAAACATTTTTATAATTTATTATTTCTTTTCGTTTAAAAAAAATTTAAAAATTATATAACTTTGGAAGAAATTGTAAGGTTTCGGGCAAATATAGGTGAATTTATTAGAAATTTTATGTTCTTGTTAATATCGTTTTTAAAAGTTTTTCATAAAGTTTTGACATTTAACAGGTTTTGAAACTATAATCTCTGCTTTAATATTAGTTAATATTTAAAATTTTTGAAATGGATGAAAAAATTCCAATAATTTGATTTCTTGACTTAACAGGTTTTGTAACTAAGTCCTTTGTTTGACTGTTAACTGTTTTTGCGCAGTATTTTTTTTTTTTTTAATTTTCAAAATGTTTATATAAAATTCACTATCAGTTAAAGTTTTTATTCAACTTATTTGAACAATTTTTTTTTTTAATTTTTAAAAAATTACATAGATTTTTTTAGTAATTTTATGAAAATTTTGTATAATTTCTTCATTTTATCAGTTTTTATTTTTCACTTTAAATATTTTTTAATAATTTTATTCATTTTAGCACAAATTTTTTATTAAATTGTTTTTTATACCTGTATCACTAATATTATTTTAAAAACATGTTGCATAGTTCCCATTTTTAATAAAAATTTTTTTCAAAATTTATTTTCTTCAATAATATTTTTTCTATTTTTCTCGGTTTGCTGTTACTTTCTCGACAGTTGTTTAAAAACTGAAAACATTTTAATCAACTACAAATTATTTCTATACAATTTAGACAAAATTTTTTCTTATTAAAAGATTACAAAAATCACCAAATGAAACACAGTTTTAAAACTGCCGCTACTGATAAGCGCCTGTTGTTTAGAGTATATGAAATCCAAATACCTAGAAACGATTTTTTTCAAAAATAATAATTAATGAGGTTATCTATGTTCAATAATATTATGAGATTTACAAAAAAAAAAACATCTCTTTTGCTCTCCTAAATAATAATGTCTAGCATAACCCAGCAAACAGTGCTTCAAACAAATATTTCTTCAATCTCTTTTTAAATTTCAGGAATACTTCTTTTGTGTGATCTACCCTAATAAAACTTTCTTATAAATCGTACTGTTCATTGGGTTATTGATTATATATTTTGGTCATATGCTATTTGCGTTGTTGTGTTTTTTTTTTTTCATCAAAAGAATATATTAATCATTCTGAACATCTTTACCTGATGAATTGTGGACTACAACAATTTTTTTGTTTATTTTTGTTTAAAATATGACATAAGCTTGAAATCAATTAAATTTATTTATTGTTGTTGTTTGAAGAATATTAAGAACAGCTTTTCTTAGGAAGACAGACAGACTTAGATAGACAGATAGACAGACAGACAGACTTAGACAGACAGACATACATACAGATACACAGACAGATAGACAGACAAATAAACAAACAGATAGACAAACAGACAGATAGACAGACAGACATACAGGTAGACAGACATGATAAGAAAGATGGCTTAAATAGAAGACATTGATAAAACCAGAGCAGCGTTTTTAAAGAAAAGAGTGATTGGAAACTACGAAAACTTTCGGACTGTAATCCAAAATTTGTAGACATTTAATAAGTCTTCATATGCTACAATTTCTATTTTGAAAGCCTGAAAACAAATTCATGATTAAATAATTTATTCATTTAAAATAGAGTTAAGTATTAGTCAGATTTGTTTGTTTTAATTAAAAACACGTTTAGGTAATACCCAATAACGTAGAAAAGAAAGATCAACGAAATAAACAAAACAACAAGAAATCATTAAAAAGAAAATAATAACAATAATTTATGGAATTATTTAAATATAAAAAATAAAAATATCTGCAAAATATAACAATAAGAAAGTTATGAATGAATCATAGAAAATTAATAAGAATTGAATCAAGAAGATAAATAAATAAAAAACTTAAAAAAGTTATAATATTATAAATAATAACATTATAAAGTTATAAAGTTATAAAATGATAAAGTTATAAAGTTATAAAGTTATAAAGTTATAAAATGATAAAGTTATAAAGTTATAAATTTATAAAGTTATAAAGTTATAAAGTATAAAGTTATAAGTTAAAGTTATCATGATCCCGTTCTCCCGTTCTCCCGTTCTCCCGTTCTCCCGTTCTCCCGTTCTCCTTCTCCCGTTCTCCCGTTCTCCCGTTCTCCCGTTCTCCCGTTCTCCCGTTCTCCCGTTCTCCCGTTCTCCCCTTCTCCCGTTCTCCCGTTCTCCCGTCCTGCCTTTCTGCCCCCCTCCTCCGCCCCCTCTCCTCCTTTTCCTTCCGTCCCTCTGCTCCTTTCTTCGCCCTTTGCCTCCCCCTCCTTTTGCCTCTTTCCTCCTTTTTCCCCTCCCCCCTTCTTTTGTTCTCCCCCTTTCTGCTTCCCCCCCCCCTCCTCCTTTTTTGTTCTCTATTTTTTTCCCTTTCCCCTTTTTCGATTTTTTTTTTCTCTTTTTTCCTCGTAATAATTCCGTTAGTTTGCATATTTTCTTCATTTTAGCCTAATTGTTTTCTGCTTATATACACGCTCCTTTTTCAAATATAAGAACCCAAAAGGACTACTAGAAGGGAGAAAGGGAACATCAACAAGGAATATAAAAATCGAAAAATTCTTTAAATGAGAAAGAAATTCATTAGTATTACAACTGGTAGATGAAGAGAAATCATTTAAAAAGCAACCAACCCCCTTTTCTTCTATGAGTATAGTTGGAGTTGATGGCTGATACTTATTTTTTAGCAGTTCTATTTCTTATTGTTTTTTTCTCAACTTTTTTTTTTTCAAAACAACTACACGTTACTGCTAGTACTCAACAAAATTGCAATTTTCCTTATGAATTTTTTTGTTTTGTTGCTTTTTTCCCATTTTTGTTGTTACTGTAGCTTAAACTTGCATTTGTTTGTTTCCTCTAGAATAACTTCGATTTTTTCTTCTTCGGTTTTGTGTATGTCGACGTTAGATGTGGTGGGTAAGGAATGAAAATAAAAAAAACAAAATTTTGCTAGAAATGAGAACCCCGGGTAGCAATTGTAGTAGACAAGCTATAGAATGAAAGCACCATAGTCGTAATGGCTGCCTAGAAGTACCTCTAGTTGTAAGAAAAGAAACAAATATTGAAAAGGCTACAGTGGGTAACAAAAGTGACGGGATGGAAGACTATCGTCTTGACTATAGACCAGTCTATCCACTTGACTATAGACCAGAAAATAGCCTTGACTATAGACCAGTCTATAGTCTTGACTATAAACCAGTCTATAGTCTTGACTATAAACCAGTCTTTAGTCTTGACTATAAACCAGTCTCTAGTCTTGACTATAGACCAGTCTCTAGTCTTGACTATAGACCAATCTATAGTCTTGACTATAGACCAGTCTATAGTCTTAACTATAGACCAGTCTATAGTCTTGACTATAGACCAGTCTATAGTCGTGACTATAGACCAGTCTATAGTCTTGACTATAGACCAGTCTATAGTCTTGACTATAGACCAGTCTATAGTCTTGACTATAGACCAGTCTATAGTCTTGACTATAGACCAGTCTATAGTCTTGACTATAGACAAATCTATAGTATTGACCATAGACCGGTCTATAGTCTTGACTATAGACCAGTCTATAGTCTTGACTATACACCAGTTTATAGTCTTGACTATAGACCGGTCTATAGTCTTGACCAGTCTATAGTCTTGACTATACACCAGTCTATAATCTTGACTATAGACCACTCTTTAGTCTTGACTATAAAACAGTCTATAGTTTTGACTATAGACCAGTCTATAGTCTTGACTATAAAACAGTCTATAGTCTTGACTATAGACCAGTCTTTAGTCTTGACTATAGACCAGTCTTTAGTCTTGACTATAGACCAGTCTATAGTCTTGACTATAGACCAGTCTATAGTCTTGACTATAGACCAGTCTATAGTCTTGACTATAGACCAGTCTATAGTCTTGACTATAAAACAGTCTATAGTCTTGACTATATACCAGTCTATAGTCTTGACTATAGACCAGTCTATAGTCTTGACTATAAAACAGTCTATAGTCTTGACTATAGACCAGTCTATAGTCTTGACTATAAAACAGTCTATAGTCTTGACTATAAAACAGTCTATAGTCTTGACTATAGACCAGTCTATAGTCTTGACTATAAAACAGTCTATAGTCTTGACTATACACCAGTTTATAGTCTTGACTATAGACCGGTCTATAGTCTTCACTATAGACTAGTCTATAGTCTTGACTATAAAACAGTCTATAGTTTTGACTATAGACCAGTCTATAGTCTTGACTATAAAACAGTCTATAGTCTTTACTATAGACCACTCTATAGTCTTGACTATAGACCAGTCTATAGTCTTGACTATACACCAGTTTATAGTCTTGACTATAGACCGGTCTATAGTCTTGACCAGTCTATAGTCTTGACTATACACCAGTCTATAATCTTGACTATAGACCACTCTATAGTCTTGACTATAGACCAGTCTATAGTCTTCACTATAGACCAGTCTATAGTCTTCACTATAGACCAGTCTATAGTCTTGACTATAAAACAGTCTATAGTTTTGACTATAGACCAGTCTATAGTCTTGACTATAAAACAGTCTATAGTCTTGACTATAGACCAGTCTATAGTCTTGACTATAAAACAGTCTATAGTCTTGACTATAGACCAGTCTTTAGTCTTGACTATAGACCAGTCTTTAGTCTTGACTATAGACCAGTCTATAGTCTTGACTATAGACCACTCTATAGTCTTGACAATAAACCAGTCTATAGTCTTGACTATAGACCAGTTTATAGTCTTGATTATAGACCAGTCTATAGTCTTGACTATAGACCAGTTTGTAGTCTTGATTATAGACCAGTTTATAATCTTGACTATGGACCAGTCTATAGTCTTGACTATAGACTTGTCTAAAGACTAGATTATAGATCATTCTATAGACCATTCTATAGTCTTGTATATAGACCATTCTAGAATCTTGACGAGTCTATATTCTTGACTACAGACCAGTCTATAGTCTAGTCTGACATTACTTATTATTATTTTCACAACAATCTGGAACACCACTTTCATAACCCACTGTATTCAATACCAATTTTTACCATTAGACAAGTAGTTTTTATAGATATGAGTACATCTTGCAAACAAACAGACAACAACCAGCTGAAAAAAACCCTGACTGACTGCTAGAACTGACTATATCTTGTGTGTGTGTGTGTGTGTGTGTTTGTGCAAAAGGCAATAGGAAGAAAGGACGTAACAAAAAAAAAACATCTAGAGTTTCTTTAATAGAAAAAAGGGTGCCCTTGTCTTAAAACTGCAGCAACAACAATTACAAAAAAAGCAAAAAAACTACAAGAAATTTTATACAACTACAGAAAAATTCAGTTTTTTCCCCGAACAAATGATGATGAAGACAAACAAAATGGTAGAAGAAGCAGTTGCGAAAAAAATTTGTATAGAAAGAAACTAAGGAACCAAAAATGAAAAAAGAATGATTCTAACAAAAAATCCACTGGGTGGGTGTTTTACATCTACATCTTGTTATCAGTAGGAGTAATGGTTACATACGTTGGCTTCCTTAATATCAAGAGTTCATTTAGTTGGTAAAATGATTTTTTTTCTAGTTATTCACGTCTATTTCGCTTCCAATGGTTCTAACTATCTATAGGTTTTTTTTCTGAGAAGAAGAAAAAAAATTGAAATCCTTTAGTAG